GGAACATCATCCTCAAGGCCTGGTAGGCCAGGATGTGCTCCACTCTCTCCTCCTCCCCCTTCATCTGCTCCCGTGTGCTCCTTTCAGAAAGGTCCCTCTCCCGGAGCTGCAGATTTAGGGTCGTCCTTTGAAACAAATTCTTCTGGGGGAAGGGGCAGGTGCTCACGTAGTAGTTGAGATTGGGGCCGGCCCCTCAGACCTCTCCACTGCTTCCCTACTCCATGCTGGCATTGTTGCATTCACATCTTGGAGCACCGGGTTGAGGTCTGGTTCCTCATCCCCTGTGAAGATATAAACAATACCCTTCCCTTGGGTGGGTTAGTGCCCTGTGCCCCCACTACCCATTTCTATATTATTAGTATTTATTTATTTTTCCTTTCCCCGCCTCCTTTTTAGTTGGCGAACATATGTATCCCTGTATTTGGTCTGGTCCCTGCCATACTACCCGGTCCTTACCCCAGGAATATTTGCATACAGTCGCTTTTTCCCTTTGCCCCTTTTGCATTTTTTTTTTAAAAGCTTACCTCAGCGGACTCATGTTGTACTTGTTCTTTTGCACTTGGCTTACTTCCCTTAGCATGATTTCCTCCAGTTCTTCCCATGCAGCGATGTGCTTCATACGATCATCACTGCTTTTTAGTGTGGCGTAGTACTCCATTGTATGTATATACCACAGCTTTTTAATCCACTTGTCAGTTGATGGAAATTTGGGTGTTTCCAACTCCTGTCAATTGTGAACTGTGCCGCAATGAACATTGAAGCACAGAACATTGGGCTTTGGTTTGTTTCTTGCCTCTTCTGTGTAGATGCCCAGTAGGGGGATTGCTGGGTCGTATGGTACTCAATTTCCATCCGTTTTAGATATCGCCAGATCGATTTCCATAGTGGCTGTACATACTTACACGTCCACCAGCAGTGGATGAGAGTTCCTGTCTCTCCACAGCCTGGGAGGGGTGGATTTATTGACTGGGGTGGCTTAATCATTTCTAGGGACTCAATATTTCCCTCTTCTGGATCATCAGCCCACATGACACATCCCATATGTCAGTGTCCCAACTTTTTCCTATCAATGCCCTCACCTTAGTATCAGACACTGCTCTGGACCTGCAATTCAGCTGATGTTGTAATTCAGCCACTCACATGATAAGACTCTGGACCTGGTTCTCAGTAATGTCAGCTCTATTACTAGAGAATAAGGCTTTTCTTTGTAGTACATGCAGAAACATTTAGGTCTGTTATTTGGTACTTGAGATGTGCTTCTGAGATTCTGAGACAGCTAATACACTGACAGTCCTTCAAGTCTTGAGGGTTGCTGGGTGCAAGTCAAGGAAGCAGACAGCTGAGTCTTCTGTAGAGCAATTCAGGCAATCTGACCACAAGCAACAAACAGTAAGGCAGGTCAGCAATAGTCAGCCAGATGACAGACAGGGTCTGACTGTCTCCAGCTCAAGTGATGTATACTCCAGTAATGTGGCAAAGCAGGTCTTGAAGGAACCTCAAACTACAGTGACAAAGTCCACGGGTTGTGTGTTCCACAGGTAGTGTAGCTCGCAAGTTGAGGCAGAGAACCAGCCAAGGCAGCCGCACACTGGTCTGATTATCAAAGAGCAAGGACCCTGAAGGCGAGGCTTCCTGAGCCATTTCTCTCTTTACCCTTCAATTAATCCCACATGCGTTCATTGGCCAGGTTGGCACAATAAACCTACCTATCACAACATGCAATTAAAACTTTGAAGATAATTTAACAATAGTTATTTACAGCAGTGCATCAACAGGTAGCTGCCAGAAATTCAAGTCAGATTCAGAAGCAGATATGACACAAAGGTTGTTCTCTACTTTAAGGTTATTCTCTACTTTACTAGTATGAGTCTGGGCTGAAAGTAGGGAATACCACAAAGATGTTTACATGTTTTATTGACTATGCAAAGACATTTGATTGTGGAGGTCATAAACTCTGGATGATATTTAGTAAAATAGGTATTCCATAAGTTAATTGTGTTAATGCAGAATGTGGACCTAGAGGCAGTTCTTGGACCTGAACAAAGGAATAATGCATGGTTTAAAATCAGGAAAGGAGGGGAGGTTGTGTGTGTGTGTGTGGTGGTGGTGGCGGTGGATACGGAGCTAATTGCACATAGGGTCACTATAAGGCAGAAAAAACTCGACAGTTAATACTATCACTGCCATTACTTTTTTGTTTTTCACACAGACATAGTCAATTCGGTTCCTGTGAATTCCATCTGGTGAAACCATGTGCAAAATTGCCATTCATGTTGTTGTAAAAAGGTTATCATGTGATCTCCAACTTCATTTCTTTCACCAATGCCATGTTTCCCAACTATTGTCCCTTCCTTTGTTTCCAACTTTCACATTCCAATTGCCAGTAACTTCAATGCATTTGATTGCATGTTTGATCAGTTTCAGACCAAAAAAAATTAGAATTCTTCAATTTCTTCATCATTCAATGATTGGTGTATAAATTTGAATAACTGGGCTTCCTTTCGACAGCTAGATACTATCCTTTGAGAGAGAAGAGTGAGCGAGTTCTGATATGGTGTGTGCATTGCCCTCTGGGATGAGAGAGCCTGGCCTCAGTTTCTGCTTTTTATCCCCTCCTACTCCCACGTGGGGGTGAAGGTCCATGGTTGAGGACATTGGCCATTTTTAGTGGCTGAGTTCAGGTGAATGTATGATGCATGTTGCTGGTGTCTAGTGTGCATGCCCAGGTTGACTTTCACCTGAGCCTAGGTGACCTGATTTGTGCATGCCCAGATTTGGATTATTCCCATAGGTGTCTAATATATGCCTGATTTCTTTCAAGCCCTTTTTTGTAGAATGGCTAGCTAGTTTTCCTTTAGTGTAGGAATTCAGTGGTGACAACCCCCTTTATCCCTAAGTTTCCTGTCATTATCAAGATCCCGAAACATTTCTTGAAAAAATTACAACAGGAGACAAAATATGGCTTTACCAGTATGAGTCTGGAAACAAAGTACCATCAAAACAATGCTACAAAGGGGGAAGTGGTCCAGTCAGTACAAAAGTGGAAGAGTCAAGAGCAAGTTTGGGCAACAGTATTTTGGGATACTCAAGCCCTGGTGATGGATAGCCGTTCATCTACCCACTACTCTATATGAAAGATGAGATTCTATGCTTTCTACCTTAAAGGGTCTCTTCCGTGATACTAGTGAGTGAAGGCATTTTGTTGTTTACTTTCTGGAGGGCCAGAGAATGATAACAGCTGCTTATTATCAGAGTGTTTTGAAAAGTTAGCCAACACTTTAGCCAAAAAAAAAAAAAAAAAAAAGGCATTAGAGTCCTTTTCCCTTAAGACCAGTAGTTCTCAACCTGTGGGTTGAGACCCTGCTCACAGGGGTTGCCCGATTTATAACAGTAGCAAAATTACAGTTATGAAGTAGCAATGAGAATAATTTTATTGTTGGGAGGGTCACCATAACATGAGGAACTGTATTAAGGGGTCATGGCATTAGGAAGGCACTAAGACAATGCTCTTGCTCCTGATTATCAACCAAGGACATTTTGCAAGACCTTTCCTGGGAAATCATTAGGCATCTATCTTGGCTCCTTCTGAGTTTTATTTCCTAATCTTATAAAATGACTATTGTTTACAAATGTCTTGATCTTGATGGAACTTATGTTGAGAAATAAAGTTTATATTTAAATTTTTATCTTGTAATTCCATTTTCTACAAACTTCTGGAAGTTATATAAAATTGCATCTATGCAAAACCTTTCTTTAGAAACCAACAGCACTTTGATAAATAGATGATGCTAATATTGATAAAGATTCAAGTATGCCTTTTAGCCATCTGCCCACAGAGAATGCAGTAAGAGCAGTGCTTACCATCTAAGTATTAGCATTAGCTTCCATTTCTTTGACATCATTAAATGCTAGTACTGCTGTACCAGCTTTACACATTCAATGTCTTTTTCAAAATTACTTTACTTAGAAATTAATGACAGGTAACAATTAATGGCTCATTCTCCAAGCATGTGTGTCTCAAACCACTCCCAACATCTTTATGCTCCATGTCCACGCTGACACCCAACTGCAGGTAGAACAAAGATACACTGTGAATCTGAAAGACTGGAGGAAGGGGCTTGGGGCAGCCGTTTGCGGTTTCCGTGGCTAAAAAACTCCTTCTTCACAAAAAAAGCTCTTCAGATTCCACTTGCAAAGCCCCCGTGCAGGAACGGGCCGGCCCCGTGGCCGTGTTGCCCTCGGGGACCCGTGAACGGCCTCTCGAACTCCCGTGGCGGCCGGGCGCCGGCGGGACCGTCCCGTACAGGACCGCTAGCCGGCCGTCGACGCCGCGGCCGCCGCTCCGGGGGGCGTGGTCGTCAGCCGCGTAACGGGCCCCGCGCTCCGCGCTCGGCCTGGCCTCCGCCACCGGCGGGCGGGGCCTTCGGGGGCCGCGTGCGCGGGAGAGGGCTTTTTTTTTTTTTTTTCTCCAATTTTTTGGGTCAAACTTTGGCCACGTGGACCGCCCCCCATTCACTTTTGCTCCAATCAGGTGGCGAGGACGGATCCCGAGAGGGGCCACGGCTCCCCCGCCGTCGGGGCCGCTGCTGAACGCGCTGTGCGTGACGTGAGGCGCCCCTGTTGCAATGGCGAGCTGAGCCAGAGGATGTGCATGTGCAGCGGCGGCGCCGGCCACGAAGAGGACGAGAGCCCGCGCTCAGCCGAACCAGGGGGGAGACG